AAAAAAAAAAAAAGAAAAAAAAGTGGAATCAGCAATTTAATTCGTATAAATATTATAAATAAATAAAATACGAATTGATGATTAGTGGTGAAACGATTGTACTGTGCTCTCCCGAAGATTTCAACGTACGTAGCAGTGTCTTAATTCCGTATTACGTATATACATGTATATAATTGAGCTTCATCGCAATAAACTAGTAATACTGAATATCGTGACTGATTTTCAATGGCCTGCCACTACGCGAATGACCGTACTCTGGCAGCAATTCCGATATTAAATTCGTATTCAAATTTCATCTATTATTCAGCTGTGCTTCGATCTTGAAATCCCTTGGGGATAGATATTCACAGATAAGAAGGCTGCCTTCGTCTCGTTGCTATTTGCGTTACGTAACAAATTTCGCAGCAAGGTATATTTATTAATTTACTAATTTATCCGGAGTGCAAAGTAGAATTAACGTGACGCGTGAATAAATTAATATCTAATATTCTGAACAGCCGGCATTTATCCCTCTATATTTCCTGACTTTCCCCCTCCGAAATACCTATTTGGAAAAGCAAATACGAGTGCAAACGAAATGGTACGTAAAGTTGTCAATAAATATTCATGGAGTTAAGATTCTCTCCTGTAAATAAACGTCCACCGCCCCTCCAAACGTAGTATATTGTTCCGATGTATCGTTCCCATCGTCTTGTATTTTTTTTTGTTTTTTTGCAACACCATTATTTGCCAGTAAATGTGTTTGCGACGCGCGATACGACATCGATGTGTACGCCACCGTAAAGATTGAAAAAACATTTTTGCTTTGAAACCAATGGAGAGCGTGACCTGAATGCCGGAAATAGGTCTGTTGTTCACTTGAACATGTATGGTAGAATTCCTGCTGCGAGGTAGATTTTAGGCCCCTCTTTCAAACAAGCGGATTTTCACCGTAGTGGAAAAACCACGCGACGACTACGTGTAGCCTCTGTTCCGTTCAAAACGACACGTTGTCGACAGTGCAGTGGTTGTACCTTCCGTAAATGGTACATGTGGTAAAAACCTTGCTTGTCGAAGAG